ACCAGCGCTACGCAACGCGAATGCATCGCGAGATTATCTGAATGTGTGCGTCCGTACACGAGGCGACACACATACAAGCCACGCCGCTACGTTTGTATCGAGTTACCATACTTGTCTTATTACACTATGGCTGGAATGTCTGTTTCTAAACGTAAAGAATCAGGCGATTTGATTAAACAAAAATTGCTGTTAAAACCGTTCATCAAGGCCGATCAGAATCTGGGTGTTGCGAACTTTTTTGATGTGCATGTAAAAGCTGACAAGTCATATCTAGATCCGTCGTTATGTTGCGTGATTCCAACCAAGTAATAATGTTCCCCTCGTAACACGAACACAGAAGTCAAAAGTAAAGAAAAGAAAGAAAAAATAAAGAAAATTGTTTGTTTACCACACTTAATGACACTCGAAAAGAAAAAAAACGAAATAAAACAGAAAAAAAAACACAACATAATAGAAACATGCAGACGTAAAACACAAAAAGTAGCAGTAGAGCTCGTTGTGAAAGGGAAGTACTGCCACTTTACCTATTTCTGCCGCCAAGCAGTAACGTGAGCATTGTTGCGCCGTGTTGAAGGGTAAAGGGTGCTGGTGAAATTACAGACACAGGAAACTTCTCAACTTATGTCTCAAGGTGACGGACCAGTGGCAATGCCCCTTACATCTTTGCTATTTAATACTCTGAGTGGCACTGCAAATGCTATAGGCGTGTCGCTTACCACCAGACGCACGACTTGTTTGTCCCGTCACTCGGTATCATAAAAACAAAAAACAAATAAAGAATCACGAAACAAAATTAAATTTAAATTAAATTAAAACACTAACTATTCACATAAACAAGGACACTAGGTACAAAGATATTTTGTGTGTAGCCAGCCGTGATAACAAAATACTGTACATGAACTCATATTTAGAAGCGAATTTTTGTAACGATATTCTACATAACATAATGAACTTTATGGTTAATAGTGTAACGTACAAATTAAAAACAAGTCGCGGAGTTTTTTTTTTTAGTTGCAGAATTCCGCAACTGCCGTCGGCGACGCTTGGATAACCCGCGGGAAGTGGCGCGAAGGCAGGCACAGTGTGACTTCAATCATTCACGAAATAACTACAACCTCAAGGCGCGATCGCTGGAATGCTCGAGCATGCATTCCAGAGACGACCGCGCACAGCGATGTGAAATTGAGTCTTCCATGCCATTTCGTTCTGCCGCAATGTAGCAAAGCGTCAAATGAATAATTATTTACAGCGTATACGATAGCTTCACAACATACATTGAGTTACAAATAAATGGACGACGGGTCTAATACAAAAACCACGAAAAAAATGTCCCAAATCAATCTATTTAAACGTAGTGACATGTAAAGGAATATGTAAAAGCTAAAACGTTGAATTTAAATTGTAATGTCATCGCAGTACTGTCTAATTTTGCTTGCTTCGCTGTCAGTCGAACAAACGAAGACTAAAGCGTGAATGACTCTCTGTATACGATTTTAACGCCCTATAAGTTCGGACACTTTTTAGCGCGGACCCGACGTCCATATAATTGTAAGTCAATGACAACATACAAATTGTTCGTACCCTTGGTACTATAAGGCCACATATGATCGTTGGTAAAAAATGCTTTTATCACATGAAAAGAATAATACGACCTACACGAAACCAATTATGTACCTATTATATATAAAGTTCTCGGCTAATTTCATATGTAGAATCTTATAAATCTCTCTCTTGAAAATGAGATGCGGCCTTGTTACACCAAGGTTGCAAATTTAGAAATAAAATCAAAATACAACAGCTCATGTTTTGGACAGGTCTTACCTTGAGCGTTAAAAAGTTTAATTTCAATTATTATTTTCGGATCTCAAAAACTTGTCAGCTTTTGTTTACAAAAATGTAGATAGTGTACGTCTTACAGCTGCTATAGTATACATATCTTCTATTTCAGAATTTTAATTGTTAGAAGGAAAATAATTAACAAGTCATTTAATTTGATTTACACAAATTTAGAACTGAAGATATGGAGTAGAAATCCATAGGATTGCAAATTTGAACGTAGAATAATATTGTGATCATACAGCTCTTGGCGAGTCTTTGCGAATCTCGTTCCTGTTAAAACGGTAACATTTAAAAGTAGAGTGGCCGTATTCAAAAATAAAAATGTTTAGGAAAAATAAAAAGGAGCCTCAAATTCAACGCAACCCTCCAGTTCCACGCTTCCGCCGCACCTGTCAAGTTCCACTTTTGAAATAATATTCCATTTTGTTACCAAAAATTTTACATAGCCATATTAATTTTTTGCAGGTTATTTTGTAGTCATATTTGAGCTATAGTAATATGAAAACTTTAAAAAAAATTAGTTATACGGTTTTTCTGATTCGGTGGGATTCAAATTTAAATATAAAAGTAAGTAACGTGGAAATATAATATGGGAATGAGAAGGATAATCATTTTATTTATGCATAATAGACTTGTTTATTTACAATCCCACCTGATGGAAATTGGAGGCGTGAGTGAAAATGATACACGTAGATGATAATCAGACCTTAAACAAATCTAGGTTAACATACCTTGGTAGTTAAGGTTGTGACTGGACTATGCAAGTAACTGCAGGATAAATACAAGTTGAGTTGTGAGAATGTTCACTAAAATGCTAGTAGGTTTTAACTGACATTCAAATTCTGTAAAAAATATTCTAAGGGTATCAGTGTGGATATTGATATATAGATATTGGCCGACATCTATAAAATTACGTTTTCTTTTTGTTTAACAATTAATGGTGTAACCATAACATCATCAGATATATATTTATAATTTTCACCACCACTTTGGTGGTATTGAACTTCAGTAAAATGAGAATAATATTTATTTGATCTGATTTTATTATAACTAAACTGTTAAAGTAAATATAATACTATAATGTAAATATTGAAGAGCCAAAATAGTCACTTTTCGGAATTTCTCGTGTTGTGCATGCAAAACCACCTGACGCTGATATTCTGTAGTGACAGATAAATAGAGCGGACGCCCCCGACAATCAACAACAAACAAAATATAAATTAAATTTAAAAAATTAAACATAACATGAGAAACTATTTAAGACTGGCTCTCTAGATGTCGATATTATTATATTCCTGTCAAGACAGGCTTACTAAGGAGGCGTACGCCTTTGCATGATGCAAACACATCTGTTTAAAACGCACATGGCAGAATATGATTTTTTTGTATTTTTATAGTGAAAACGTTAGTTTCATTTTTTGATAAAATTTTTATAATTTTTTAAAATGTAATTGACTAATTGTCAAAAGATACACTTTTCTTTATTAAAGTAACTAAAAAGTTCATATTCGCTCACACAACGTCTTTCGCAATGGTCTTTAAATGTAGTGACAATGAGGCTCATTTTGCTTTGCCGCAGAACGGAACTGTAGCGACTAGTAACAAAATTATAAAATGAAACGAGCCAAAAATCAGGTCGCGCGTCATCCAGACAATTCTTGGGCAGTCTCGGGAATTCCCGCAGCTACCGTATCGTAGTTTGTAATAATAATAACAATAATAATTCATTTATTTGTGAAAACACAGGTTATACAGAAGCTGACATGTACAAAACACGTATAGTTTCACTGTGTCCGGCCAAACAGTAGGCATACAAATATTGAAGGTATATATATATATATATATATACATTCACTCACATGCACTTCGACAGTAACATGTTTCGTTTTTCAATAATAGTACATGAGCGTGCACACATGGATTTAATAAGTCGGTCAGAATTTAAACGCGATTATAGTTACGTGGGTTGTACATTACACAATTGACTTAAAACTCATTATACTATATACAATTTATGTAAATTTTGTCTAACTCCATGTTTAATTAAATATAATCTTTATATGACTTGTTAGTATTCTCCTCCGGTAACAAAACGGAAGTAACGGAAACGATAACAAAATTGAACGTAAATAAATAGGATATTTCGTTAAAATACTGGTTGACGTATACAACAACTTTTATTATTCCACAAAAACTTAACCGACAGAAAGTGAAATAGATACATTGTAACAAACTGGTTAATATCTAGTTTTTAAAGTTAAAATAATTAAGTTTTAGAATTTTTATTCTTATTTTCAAGATCAGGTGCGCTGATTAAGATTGTAATTGAATTTTTTCTCGTTTCTAATTTATTCCAAACTTTTACGGTCTTAAAATATTCTGAACTAGCTATTATAAAGTATTGGTAATTGGAAATGAAACTATTTTTTGAAATATATATCGCGTATATTTGTTTTTTTCAAACAAACGAAAACGTTTTGGACTCATGATCATGCTTGTTAGATGATCTAGATATATGTAACATGCCTTATTGCATCTTCCATGGAAACAACGAATGAGACATGTATTGTACAATCTACATGTACGCTGTGATTAGTTGTAAATTAGAAATAAGAATTACAATTGTAATTTCTTTACTTTATAAATTAAATTGTTTTGAATATTTTTCGGTGCTTTTTAAGTCAATCGGCGGCGTCCAACATAATTTTCTGGTAGAGTTAGTCGTGACCACAAGACCAATAAAGAGCCCGAAACGTTTGTTTTAAAAAACTAAACCCTATCACTTCACGCACACGTCTCGCTATGTATAGTATTACTATAACTTTCTACCTTGTATGGAGTGTCCGATGTGCGCCACGGGCGAGTCCGGGCGACCTCGGGCCGACGTGTATGGCGGCACTTATACACGTATGTGTCGAGAGCTTTGTCTACTCTGAGCTACCGTTCGAGACGTCGTATGAAGAATACATAGCTATTTTTGTAGGCACTTTTGTATTATACAGTGGCTATTATCTATAGAGATATTATCTTCTCTATACGTGTTACTTCCTTGAACTTTAAGTAATCATACTCCAATATACTGGTAATAAAATTAAAATTCCACATTGGAAATTTATAACTTCGTTCAATTTCCAATTATAATTTTCATGCCATGATGAGTTGCCGAGAGATCGTTGAGTAACTCTTTAAATATTCTATCAGCGCACCATGAAAGTTAGACTATAGCGATTAAATAACAGGTATATAGCATATTTTTACAAATAGCGCGCTCATTGCGCGCCAACTAAATGTCAGCTTATAACAATTACTAATAATACTAGCAACGAATATGTTGGTATTCCAGCGCCGCCCCGTTGCATTGCGAGTGGGTTTTCTCCTGTAAAAGATAAAACTCTTAAGTAAATTGAATTTCTAATGCGAACTTAATCCATTAGTCATAGTAATAGCGTTGACATTCTACTATGCATCAACTCAATGCTAAAACATTTTTATTATTTCCTGTGTGAAGTATTTCCTTTTTTGAAGATGATTTGCCTATGATTGGACGGTTCACGGATGTAGGGGACTGACAGAAAATGGATTCTTTTTCTTTAATTGCTTACGTCATTTATTTGTTATAAACCACACGACATGGTCGGACTAAAACTATAAAGAAAGCTTCGATTTCCGACCGTCACCTTTCTTTTTTCAAAGAAGAAAATCTTTGGTAGCAGTAGAGCTCTTTGTGAAAGAGTTCGTCCAGGGATATACTACCTCACCTTACCTATTTCTGCCGTCAAGCAGTAAAGGTGGGTCTACATTTACGACATTTCAACGCACTGAAACTCCGTAACGTTGATTTATATATTGATTTTGAAAGAAAAGGTTGCTGGTAAAATTACAGGCACATGGAACTTTTCAACTTATATCTCAGGGTGACAGGCGCACAGGGGCAGTGCCCCTCAGATCTTTGCTGTTTAAAGCTCCGAGTGGTACTACAACTATCATGAATTGGTTTGCCGCTTACCATCAGGCATACGACTTGTTTGCCCCATAGGTTGATATAAAAAAATGTGTAATTATTCAACCAAGAACTTCCATTATAAAGATAGTGGCATTCATCTTGTATGTAATTGTTGGGAAACAAAGACACATGGTCTACCTCCAAAGAAACAATAATACCACTTAATTCGGCCTATTGTTCCTTTGCCTGAAGGGACACTAAGAAGTTTCACAATTAATGTTGATTTCTGAAATAAGTTCAGCTTTCCAGTTTTATTGGACTTGGCGAAGTTACGAGTCGGAACCCTTTTGGAATTTTAAACAATTAATTTATTCTGCTACTTCTTTGCGTGGCTATGGCGAATCCAATATTGTCATGCAGTACAGATTTAAATGTGGCATTTATAAGGATGAGCCCATTTCTGGCAAATATTTTATAGCCAATCGTAGCTTAGTTTTATTAAATCTTTTGGTTTAAAAACCACAACATTTGATGACTTCAGTAACACAGTCGGTAACCTATCACAAACCAGAAAATTTTTTGTCCGAAATAATGTTAGTTCGAATTTTCATTATACCGAAAACCGAATTATATAATATAACGAAACAGTTGTTCTTTCACAATATGTTGAATGTTTATCATCGCAAAGACATGATTAGGTTCGGTTAGGTTAGGTTAATAACTTAACGGTTTAAAAGAGAAAACATTTTCCTCTTAAAATTACTTTCGAGGTTATGAAATTTCGACCAAACGTTATTTCTGGAAAATATCATTTCGGACTACTGATAGGTAACCTGCACAGTCCTAAGATCATTTAGTGTTAGGTGAGAAGATCACAGAGTCGATTTCTAATAGGACCGTCATCATCATTATCAACTCATTTATACGCCCCGTTGCTGCGCACGGGTCTCCCTCAGGCGAGAGTTTAAGGCATAGTCCGCCACACTGGCTCGTGCAGGTTGGAGACCTCACACGTTATCCGAGGGTTGTGAACCTTCTTCGACGTGACCGGTACCATCACGATGTTTGCCTTCACCGAAGAGCTCATGATAAATTTGAAATTAAATTTCGCACATAAATTCCGAGAAACTCAGAGGTGCAAGTCCAGATTGGAAACCACGGCCTCTGCTTGAAAGGTCAAACCATTAGGTTACCACGGCTTCAACATAGAACCGACTTAAAAAAAATATTTATTTATTTATTTAATTCTAGATGTTGCTAAATGAATTTGATTACTCTTGTATTTATACCATTATAAAGACAGTGATATTCATCTTGCATGCAATTGATGGGGAACAAAGACTTTTGGTTTACTTGTACTGTTTACAGTACAGAAAATTCTCTAATTTATAACCAGGTAGTGGGTATAAGTTTCTGGCACTTCTTATTTATCGTACCTCTTAGGACATGCACGGAGACAGCCGAAGTGGCGACGTCTGCCAACGAGCAAGTATAGTTCCCAGAGTCGTTTCTGTTCGCGTTTGCAATGTAGAGACGCGATAGAGCACCGTTGGAGGTCGCTTCTGTCTTTACGCTGTGGACAAAAGAAAGACTAAGTAAACATCGTATCACCAAAGCCTGGTTAAGTGGTTCTATAGTCATTTGCAAGGAGCTATAATAAGTGCGCAATTGACCCTCATCTCACCTGATGGAAAGTGACACACACAGAGAGAGTAGGTAGTAAACACTACCAAATGGTCAGACCATTGTGTGGTTATGATAATATACAAACGTTTATTACCAACAATATAAATTTGAGAATTTTCTAGCTCGCTAGCTGTAAAGTTTTCAAATAAATAAAATTCATTTCAATTCTAATCAGTTTTGGCACATTTGCAAACAAACTTGAAGCTTTCATTAACTGCCACAAGCAAATTTTCTACTAACGAATAAATTTCGGAATTGGATAATATGTCCCGAGTGTTGAGAGTTTAGTGGTACGAATTAGTTTAAATTGATTCATTTGAATTCATTTAATTTTGTGATAGGATGTTCTAACTTTGCCGAGAGATTACAGTCGAACTTAATTATTTGATATTATACATATATTTTACCTAAAATTGCCTCTGTGGCCGAACAGTTACCATACCGGACTTCCACGTAGAGGTCGATTCCTGGGCCGGGAGAAATATTTATATGGCCTACATTTATTTCTCTCGTGAGTTTGGTTGGAATTTGTGGTTGTCTATGTGTGTGTCCATGGTACCCGCCACACAGGGTTTCCCTAGGGTTACCTATCAGTAGTCCGAAACGACATTTTCCAGAAATAACGTTTGGTCGAAATTTCATAACCTCGAAAGTAATTTCGAGAGGAATATATTTTTTCTTTTAAACCTAACTTAACTTAACCTAACCGAACCTAATCGTGTCTTTGCGATAAACATTCAACATATGCTGAAAGAATAAGTGTTTCGTTACAATTCCGTTTTCGGTGTAATGAGTATTCGAACAAACGTTATTTTGGACAAAAAAATTTTCGAGTTTGTGATAGGTTACCTTTCCTTAGTGCGGGTTGAGTGTGTGTGTGCGTATGTGCGTATTTCTTCTTTTTTTATATGACTGTTACGCGATAACTGCGGCCTGTGAACCGATGTTGTTGGAAACAGGGGTACCCACCTTCAAGGGGATTACTATCTAATCTAAATCTAACTATTATGATAACTAACATACTAGGGGATGAATCCCGTTTCGCGCACTTTTCGATAACCAATTTCAATAAAACTTGGTAAATAGACGTAATTCCACGAACTTTTTAGGTCGGTTTTTTTAGTACTCTGTAGTGAGATCACTTACTTATTTATTTCAATGAGGCAACTGTAATACATTGATCCATATAATATATACCTTAAAGACTAACATAAATATAATATAAAAACTAAATTATTAGTTGTTTACCTACACGATTTGCATTTGTTGGCGACATGTAGCGCCATGGTGTCAGATTATAATCTACATATAAACATTTTATTAAATTATCTAACTCTGCCCTAATTTTGTCTACCGTTACAATAAAATGGTCTTTACAAGAAACTTAGTCAAGGTCCAACACTCCAGATCCAGAATGTTGGCAAAAAATTCCTGCCGAATTGTTTTTACAAGAAATAACATAATGGTTTTTACTACAATTTCTCTGTATATCCTGTAGTATGGTTCCTGTTACAAAAACACACTGTATATACAGAGAGTGAGAGTACAAGGCGTTATAAGATAGTATAGTACTAATAGGGTTAGCGAAAGGATTTAATTTCCAAGCAGTCCCTTTGTAGATGGATGTTTTAAATGCCTGTTTAAAATTGGCTAACTGTTCCCAATATCCCTATATATATCCCTATCCCTATATATATATATATATATATATATAAGAGTTGGTCTTGTCATTCTGGATTAATGCTTTTGGGGAAACAATTAAGTACTCAGCCCAATTTCACATTCTGATAGTACTGGAGTGGACATTGATTGCACCATCTTACTAATTGTATATAGTATTAATATTTAATACAGTCTGCATCAAAATGATCTGATAACTGCCTCCGTGGCCGAACGGTTACC